AAGTCACCGGGTTGCTGCAAAACAAGTTCAGGGGCTTATCTATATGAAGTGCTACCCAAAACTTAAAGGAAAAAGATGGTAGCCAGATGGAGAATTTGTTAAAGGGGCTTGGTATGGATGTCTAAATTGTTGTGCTTTTTTGTTTTGTTTTTGGCTTTTTTATTTTTGGCTCAGTGTGTGTGTGTGTGTGTGTGTGTGTGTGTGTGTGTGTGTGTACCTAGCTCCTCACCCAAACTTTTGATAGGGTAGCTGAAATCCCTTTGAGTTGGGCGTGTATGCTTTCGTTGTTGCCTGGCTTGTTTTATTCCTTTGTTCTTATTGTTATAGGGTTTAACCATACTTTTTTTACTTCACAGATTGCCCAAAATTGCTGGGATTTGGGCTTCGTACTAAATTATCAACCAAATAAATAAATATTGAAGGAGAAGCTTTTAAAAAAATCAATGCAGTAGTATCCACAATGATGCAAAAATATTACAAGGCGGTAGCAGTATTTTCTGGGCAAATTATTGCCCTACCTTTGAAAAGGTCCTTCTCCAACATGGTTATTTTTTTCTCTGTTTTTTGCTTACGTATTTTTTCCAGCCTCTTCTTCTGAAATCTAGAGAAACAGGCTTTGTTAAACAAAGGATACACAAATTTCAGAGCTGTCCATGGCATGTCAAGAAAGAACCTTTCACAAATTCAGTCAGACTTAGAAATGAAGAAGCCACAAAGGTCCTATACAGAAATAAGAACCAATGTATCCTCTAACCAGTAAAGGATGTTACACTAAACATATACACTTGGAACAACTTTTAAGTTCCCTTGCAGTTTGTAGGGAGTAGTACGGTCTTAACTGACACAGAATCAAGCAGAAAAACAAGATTCCAGACAGAAAGGAATTGTTACTATTAACCAAAAGAACAGAGCTGAGTTAAGGCATAGAAGAGGAAGAAATATTATTATTATTAACTAATTCATTTCCTCCTCTCCTAAACAGAACATCTTACACATTACTTCTGGGATTAATTCTACAGTTGGTGAGCAGAGGTCAGTAATGACCTTTTAAGGCCTAATGGCTAGAGAGATTGACAGTGCCTTGGGAAAATCTTCTATTCAGTCAAAACATACTGGCCAAAAAGTTAACTTTATGGAATTATTGTGAGGGTGAAATAAGGAAAACTGGGTTATTAATGAAATTCATCTCAAGAATCAGGCTTTCAGATTGTAACACCACCCTAATTCAAGGGCTGAAAATTCAAACTTAACTCTTTTTTCTTCTGTGACTTTTCTTGGACTTGTATCTCTTTTTCAGGCTCACGTTGCATCTGGTTTTCAGTGAGGAAGCGCACGTGCTCAATTTCCCGGTCCATACGTTTATTGTATGAGTTTTCTGTCTCCCCTCGCCGTCTCCTGAACTTCGGTACTGGTATGTCACCCTCTGACTGAGGCCTCTGCTTATTTGCTGTGACAAAAACATGGATGTTATAATCTGCCCAACAGCTTTCATGGAGATTGTAGGAAACAGATAGAGCTCTAACCTAGTCACTCTGCAAAGTACTGATACCTAGCTGAGCAAATAAGAGTTATCTGACAACGAAGTAACCTGACATTTAAAAGTAATTTTTTTAGGATCTGTAGGAAAAAGGTCTACAGCTCTGACAGCTCTTCCATTCCCCACTATCCTGTCAGAGCTGAAGAAGTTTCTTGGATGAGAAGTGAAATGTCTTCAAAAGAAAAAAAACAAGAAAGTCCAGTTGCCTCCTGAGAAAAAGCACTTTTGGGACTATGCTGGAGTATATTCTAGAGTCTTCCTATATCTTCTTTTCCAAAGCATTGATAAATCATTCCACTCATTTTCAGTGCCATAACAGAGAGCTTATGGGGAAGGACCAAAAAAGAGAGTGGGGATCCTATGCATCTCTAGGGTCCCAGATTCTTCCATCCTTCTGATAAAGAACCTCTTATAAGGCAGACTGCCTCAAAGTAGTACCATCCAGGATAGTTTGTCAAGATGACACTTCCCAAGAATTTCTGGCTAGTTGCTGAAACATATAGCAATAGCATTTAGGCTTATACACCGCTTTATAGTGCTTTACAGCCCTCTCTAAGCAGTTTACAGAGTTAGCATATTGCCCCCAACAATCTGGGTCCTCATTTTATCCACCTCGGAAGGATGGAAGGCTGAGTCAACCTTCAGCCTGGTGAGAATCGATCTCCCAAATTGCAGGCAGCCAGCAGTCAGCAGAAGTAGCTTGCAGTACTGCACTCTAACCACTGCACCACTGAGGCTCATGTATGTTGAATATAAAATCATAAAGCTGCTTTTTACCAGTTTTCTTTTTCTTCTTCTTGCGGGTAGGGTTTTTTAGATCATCCCGGCTCCTCATGATTTCCCGCAACCGATATGGAATTTCTTGCTCATTCAGGCAATCTGGTTTTGAATTTGTTTTTTTCTTCATATGGCTAAAATTAAAACAAGAGAAATGTTGGTAAGGCAATCATCATCATCATCTATACACCTAACCTAGAAGAACATCTTTGTGACAGAAGTATTTGTGTCACATTTTCGTATCTTGCTCTGTAACAGAATTTCAACAACCTCATTAGTAGAATGAATGAGAAGCTGCTGGAAGCACCTATATTAGTCTGAATTAGTACCATAGCCAGCCCTATATTTAAAGTGGTCTTTCAGTGTTCATCAGAGGTGTTCTTCCTTCATCGCCTTTCGGGTGCCATCCATATCCTAGTAGTAGAAAATCATATTAATCTACCATAACTTTAAATAATTGTTAATAACGTATTTTTCTCCACAATGGAAAGAATATGTCGTAAATGTGATATCTTGTTGCTACTACTTACAATCTAATTCAGTACTCCCCATTTTCACAATGGGTTTATCACAAGTATCTGAAAGGCATGTAGTGGCACATCTCTTTGATCTCTGGCATCATAACAGTTACATAATGAGCCACACTCCTAATTGAATCCACCCTTCAGCATAAAACTGAAGAAATCTGTAAGCATGTCCACTGTTAGTGCTGGGAAAAGAGACATAACATAAAACAATCTTAATACTGCTGGCCAATAAGTAGGATAAATTATAGCTACTTTCCATAGATTATGATGGAGTAGACTACAGTTCATAGGCATTATGGCATTGGAAAGATGAAAAATGCTAGTAAGGAAGAGGTTTTATTATTTTGGTTGGTTGCATAGTCCACCAGATGTTTAGATGGGATTTGGCAGTTTTATCCAACTATTGAGTCTTTCCCAAGACTATGGGATAGGCAAATGTCACTGCTTGATAATGTCGAAGTATCATCGCAAGATGTAGATTGTTCCAAATAAAGCTGCCTTTTGAAATCGACTGATGGGGATTTTCTCAATGCCAATGATGTTCCAGGGATGCTCCATATGTTTTGGGATTGCACCTAAGGCACCTATTACTATTTGTACTATCTTTGCTTTCTCTTGCCAGTCATTCCACTTCTATTTGCAGATCTATTACCCAGACTTTTTTTGCCTTTCTTATTGACAATTGCTGAATCTGGGGGGTTATGTAGCAAGTGTTTATCTATGTGCATTTTAAATTTCTAGAGCACTTTTAGCTTCTTAATTTTCTTTACTCTGTTTTGGGTTCTCTCTGGTTCACGCATGGAGACAAAGGATATTTCTTGCAGATATCATTATTCCATTTTCATCCAACCAACCATCCATACACACCCACCCACACAGTGTGTCTGTCTATAGATATACACACACACGTGTGTGTGTGTGTGTGTGTAAAACTCAAGATAGCATCCTTACTTAATATTCCTGCCTATTTTCCCTACAACAACCGGGTGAGTTGGGGCGAGAGAGAATGGAGTAAAGAATAAACACGTGCAGAATCAAGCAGTAGCCAGTCAAAATCCCAATTAGTTCTACATTCACTGGGCACCCTCAAACAAGCTGCTGTTACGATTGAGTGATAAGTAAGTTAAGATGGGAATAAAACTGGTCAATCCTACAAGGTTGTTTTACCTGTCACTGACACAGAGTAAGCAAAGCGCTTTGAAATTGCACACACAAAAAACAGCTCACCAGAGGGATACAGACCTACCGCGGGCGAGAAGCCCCTTCCGCGGAGCAGCGGAAGCCACAGCAACTTTCTTCTCTTTTTTGCCCATCGCTGCACCCACGTGCCACAGTCGCTTCCCAGTTCAGTCTTCTCTTGCTTACGCACTCTATTCCCCGCCTTCTTCCGGGGGGGGGGAATTTCCCCGTCCATCAGCGCTCTCCGATTGGTGGAACTTGCCACTTATATCGGAAGTTAGAGAAGAATCGGGATTGCTATTGGGCGAGAGAGATGTTAATTCCCGGCAGGCGGCGAAGCAGACAGGGTTGCCTAAAGGCGACCGGAGAGATGTTGCCTTTGGGGGTTTTCTGCTGCCGTCGGGGGTTGGTGAGCACTTTTGGTACATCAGAAGCGGGTCAGGTGAGAAGTTTACCCAGGAGAATTAATAGGTAAAAATCACAGTTTTAGCTGCATTCACACAAAATGCTAAGGGCGGGTTGCTTGTTTACCTAATAAATCAAAGTGGTACATTTTCAATTAAACAACCTTTATTTGGTTTATTCTGTTTCAACCACTATTATGATTTAAATGTCTGGTCTCGGCAATGTTTATTTGGAAGGCAGTCAAGCTGTCTTCAGCTTAACAGGCCGAGGATCAAAAAGTGCTGTGAAATAGCCCTAGTGATGAAGAGCTCCTCGTGTTGATCCTGCCCCAAACTCTCCTTTAAATTCTTTTTAAAATGGTTAAAACATCATTTCTGATTCTACGGTCCTTTGAAATTAGCATCTTCATTAGAATTCAGTATTAAAATAATGATTATGTTTCCAAGATCTTCAGATTCTCTTATTAGTGCTGGATATTCAGCAAAGGGGAATTATCCTGGTATCACAATCACAAAGAGTGCCAAAAATTGCTTTCTAGGTCGCTTCTAGAATAGGACTAGACAACTAGATATCTTCCTGATGTGTTGGATGTTAATTCTTGTCAGTCCCAGCCAACACAGGCAGCGGAAAGGGATTTATACTCCAATCCCTTGAGCTATCTGGATACACCAGGTTGAAAGCTACATGCTATCATGGTTTCAGGATTGAGAAAGAAATGTTCAGTATTCAATAAGCTATTTAATGAAACTGTAAAACTGGCAATTATTCCATAGGTTCCTTCTGAGAGAACAGAAATAAGGAGAAATGGGGCATTAATATATGCTGAGATTAATTTTAGAGTATGTATTAATTTAAATAACACTTGTATTGGTGCGTAAGAAAAAAAATCCCGAAACCACATTCCAATCAAATATTACCATGAATCAAAACATCTCACAAATTATTGTGGCATCCTTGACATATTTTCTTTTGGGTCATTTGTTTTGATTTTTCAGTGCCTAAGACAAGTAGTAATAACAACTATATAAATTTGTTCCATTTCCTATCTCTCTTTAGATATGCCCTTAATTTAATTATTCGTTATATATTCTTGTTATACTCGTTATATATATACCTGTGAAACTTTCTGATACTGCTAATTTAATTCACATCTGAAGAGGGCTGTGCAAATTTGTGGACAATATCAGTGGGTGATACTAGTTAGAATGGCTATAGACTTTCTCTAGGATCAGAATGGAACTCTGCTAAGTACCATTCATCAGAGGACAGGAAAGGAACAATAGTTTTGCCTTCCAGCTAATTTGGCCTTTGTGGGGAATAAATACTGGGCTAAGGAATCAATAAAATCCTCTCAGCTGCATCTGTCAGTCTAGTTTATTTAATTTATACCCCATCTTTATTATTTTTTATAAATAACTTAAGGTGGAAAACATATACAACACATTTCCCTCTTCCTATTTTTCTTACAACAACCGTGTGAGGTGGGTTGGGCTAAGAGAGGGTAACTGGCCCAGAGTCACATAAAATGAGGCCATCCAGAGTTTTTCCTGAACTAGATTGTAACATGCATTAAAATCTATATTGAAGAAAACACTACTCAAAATATATTCTGGAATAAATACTAGCATTCTAATACTATACATTGCTTATAGTATCCATTTAATAATTCATTTCAAAGTCAACTTTCTCATACCAGGTCAAAATGTTTTTAAATCTGAATCTATTTAAATGCATAGTTTTTAACATTCTATGTAAAAGGTCACACATTAGAAAGAAGAGACGGAATCTCACCAGAATGTGGTTGATTTTTGTTTTCAGAGCATCGTCAAGAGAGTGAAATACTGTTCTTTACGTATTGAAAGTCACAAGTGGAACGTAACCCAAATCTTATAGGCATGACATATTGTCTGGATAAATAAGTGAAATTCTGTAGGTCGTATCTTTGCTTGATTATATTTCAAAGATGGGTTGGATGTCCTGGAAATGAGAGAGAAGAGGGATATAGACGTATTGGGGGTTTAATTTTGTTTTTGTTCTTACCAGAAGTATATATATCTGTTTTGGGGCCTTGAGGCTAATGATACAACAACGCTGGCCCTGTTGAAAAGATCCTGCCATGGGAGGTTAGTAAATATAGGCTGGCTCCCTGCAGCACTATTAAGCGGTGGACAGCGTCGCTTCTGTGCAGATGCAGAGAGCCGCAACCAAAAGGCTCCTTCCCTGAAGGATAAATCATGTTCCGAGAAGGAAACTGCTTCTTCGGGGTCCTGTTTTGCCACCCCACCGCTTGTCCCTCCCACAACGTGTTGTATGAGTGGATGCCACAACTGTGTCTGGATTGCTTATGCAGAAGAGCTTCTAAAATACTACAAGGATGGTGGCGAGCAGGCTTTGGCGGCTGTGGAGAAACATATAGAAGATGAAAATATTAAAATGTTCCTGAAGATGGAAATTAAGTTCCGTATGAAGAAAGACTGACATTTTTGACCTGATGAACATGGTATTGCATGGTTTCGGACTTCAGGAGATGTTGAAGAGGAAAAGCTAATTATTTATGGTTCCTTCTGTAAGAGATGATATATTTTATTTTACATAAAAAGTTCTAATGACTGTACATCTATTATTGCACGACTCTTCTTTTAAAATTTCATCTTCTTAAACCAGGGGGATGATATTTGGTATGATCTACTATTTTCATTAACTGGGTTTGTGCTTCACATGTTTTCGGAATGTCACAGTGATCTCATGGGTAGTATTGCAGCAAAGGAGCCCCTGATTTAAGTGGGCAGCTAGAAAGATCCTTTCTTCATCAATAAACATGGGCCAAATTTCAATCCCAACATCTTTTAGTAGAAAAGTAAGATCACTCACTGCAATGAACCAATATCCTTTTCAGTGTAATTGCTGAACAAGCTGTGATGTGTTTATAGATAACCCTAAGGCTTAAAGGTTGGATTCATACATTATGATAAGCTAAAACAATAAACAGGCTGCATTGTGGTCTTGCATCAGACATACAAGATATTCCCAGGAGATTTATTTATATATTGACCAGATCTAGCTTTATGTTTGTTAGTGTATCTTTGCATTCGGATCACAGCCCAGGATAACTCCTTTAGGATCCATTAATGTCCTTTCCCCATCATCTTGCTGAAATGCAAAAACTCCTGGGCTAACTCTTAAGTCATTCTGAATAGCTATAAAATGCTTGCATTGCTGCTCTGTGGTTAAAAAAAAAATCTGCTCCATCTGCCAGCAGGTATGATACTGCAGATTTGAAGGAAAGTATATTCTGAACTTTGCAATTTACCATGACACTAAATTCCATTGCAGAGCTGTCCCTCTAGCTCACAGGAAGACCACAACAAACCAGCTGGCAGACTGGATGGCCCATGAGGAGCCAGTCTGGCCTCATCTATCATCTAGGGAAGAATCTATTCCATTCTCTTTCCTTTTTTCCATCATTTCTGTTAGAGGCTGAAAACAGGAGCAGGCTTGTTTTTCATATCTTCACAGCACTTAGAAAGTTACAAATATTTTAGGTGAATAATAATGATTGTATACACTACATCTATGAATCAATTTGGTATAGGAATTAAAGCACAAGGCTATAAACCGGGTGGTTGTGAGTTCTAACGCTACCTTGGATTCAAAGCCAGCTGGATGACCATGGGCCAATCGGTATTTCTCTTAGTCTTAGGAAGAAGGCTTTGGCAAATGACTTTTGAAAATCCTTCCCAAGAAATCTGCAGGGACTAATCCAGGCAACCACGAAGGAGTCAATAGTCATTCAAAGGCACGCACATAGTCACAAAGAACACTATACACTACTACTTCCAGATGTTTGTTGTATTGACCTGCTGTCATGTCTGAATGCAGCTATCTTCTGTATTTTATTTTTGCTTGGTATACTGTGCACAATTCCATCATCTGCACTATCCTCAAATCTTGATTTTTATTTTGATGTGGTATTAATGCAGTGGCACTTTATAGAGCAATATTTATTTCCCATACATGCTGCCTTTTCTCCAAGTTAATAAGACCTCTGCACAGTATACAGACAAAGTTTGTACACCCACAGTAAGTGATAATGTGGTATTTGGTTTTTGCTAAGTACAATTTGTGGATCCAGCGCATTTGTTGTATGCCACTTCTGGTGTGATGGGAAGCTATGATTGATAGAATAGAGTAGAACTCTTTATTGGACAAGTGTGATTTGACAAGGAATTTGTCTCCAGTGCATAAACTCTCATGTACATACAAACAAAGTAATATAGTAATTGGATGGATGGATGGATGGATGGATAGATAGATAGATAGATAGATAGATAGATAGATAGATAGATAGAT